CACTCGCTGGCGGCCGATATCCTGAGGCAATTCACCGCAAGCCTACATAAGGAAGAATCTGAACAAGGTCTCAAAGCCAGTAAAACATTAATGGAAATAATTCCCCCAACTATCGATAATAAGGAGGACTACAATTTTTTACCTGGCTATCTAAAAGTTGAAGAGGTCCTTGGTACGGTGAATGTTTCCTATCCAGCGAAATATTCCATTAGACTTGCAAATGGGGATATTGTTAATGTGAGAAACCTTTTACCCATTGCCTTTTTCTGTTGACTTTCATGTTCTCACAACCTCATATCTCAGTTAACTGCCAGGCACATTCGTACCCTTCAGCAGGGATGCAATGCCCTTTCTCGGTTCAATCAATATCCGATAATCAGTGATACTTCTATATAAGATACAGTCACTCATCGCCAGTACCCAAGCCGAACGCGGTCTCAGAGGGATAGCTTTTATGTGAACTCCACAATGCTCAGCCTATCTTCAGACGATGATCGACCGGCTAGCCCATTTACAAAACCAATTACTTCAAGGCGCCTTTTGAGGAGAGGTAATCGCGGCGAGGCAAGCACTGTACTCTCAAGGCGACGTTCTTCGCGTTTACTTCAATTCACAGATGCCCAAGGTTCCGAGCACAGTGAAGATAAATCGATGGAATCTTCAGATGGAGAACACAGGAAATATAGACGAGTCAGACGCCGTGGAAGGCGCTCTAAGTCCTACAAAAATGAAAAATTTTCCAACCCCGTTTCAATTGGAGTCCGATCCTCGCAGAGAGTCAAAGCATTAAAAAGTATCGCAGTACGCTTGGAAGATGACATTTCAGAAGCCGAAGATAATTCAGCAGGGGTGAAGTATTCAGCGGCAAAGGAATTCTTCAAACAATTCCCAAATGAAGATCCCTTCAGAAATCGTCATCAAAATGTGTGTAATTCTTGCCGCTCTTCTGATTCCGGAAATGGAATTCTTGTATTCTGTCAAGGTTGCACTACATCATATCACCAGAGATGTCTTGGACCCCGCAACCAAAGAGAGCACTTAGTCACAAAGATTGGGGAAATGGATTTTGTTCTGCAGTGCCGACGGTGTTTAGGCTTTGCCCACACAAAAGACATGCTTTCTCCTCATCAGGGTGCTTGTACCCAGTGTCATCAACTCGGCCCATTATCAAAGCCTTTAAGACCACGAACGAATGCCCGCGAGGAGCAGCTGCTGAGGGAAGAAAATGGTGGTTCCGATCCCATACCTGATATTGACACTCCATTGCATAACTTATATAATGTGGATTCCATCCTGTTTCGATGTATTTCGTGCGAGCGAGCTTGGCATATGAACCATCTCCCACCTAGAGGACAAAACCCTACCGGCAACATGGAAGAGAGTGATAGTGCAGATTTCGGCAACCAAACGTTCAGGGAATATTCGAGGCGGTTTACTTGTGAGGACTGCGCCAATATGCCTGGGGAGATAGAAACTATTGTTGCTTGGCGCCCAGTTGATCTTGATAGTTTTATACCTGGGTATACTTCGGAAATGATGGAGGAGATCGCCAAGGAATATCTAATAAAGTGGCGGAAAAAATCTTACTTCCAAACCTCATGGATGCCTGGGTCATGGGTTTGGGCGAAGGCTGCTCCTGCCACCCGGAAAGCATTCGCCAGGTCCTCAAAATCCCTAAAGCCGATTATGTCGAAAGAAGATGCAATTCCAGAAGAATTTTTGCGGGTTGACATAATTTTTGACTTGGAATACTCAAATGTGGTCAGAAATACAACACTCGAGATTGATATGGCCCGCGTCAAAGAGGTATCAAAGATATATGTCAAGTATAAGGGCCTGCCATATGAAGATGCTGTGTGGGAAACCATCCCATCACCTAAAGAGACTGAGCGCTGGCATGATTATCAAAGGGCATACCAAGATTGGGTTGCTGGGAAGTACGTGCATGTGCCTAAAAGTCACATTATGAAGAAGAATTTGACCACTGCACGGTCCAAAGATTTTGCTACACAGCTTGTTAAAAAAAACCAACCGGCCTTACTAACAGGTGGCCAAATTATGGATTACCAGAAAGATGGCTTGAATTGGCTTTATTACATGTGGTACAAAAAGCAAAATGCCATCCTCGCTGATGAAATGGGGTTGGGGAAAACAATTCAAGTAATCGCACTTTTTGCGACTTTAGTTCATGATCACAGATGTTGGCCTTTCCTAGTGGTTGTTCCGAATTCTACATGCCCTAATTGGCGTCGGGAAATAAAGTCCTGGGCACCTTGGTTACGGGTTGTGACATACTATGGCACCGCAGCTGCGAGGAAGATTGCACACGATTACGAAATGTTTCCGGATGGTACATCGGATCTTCGATGTCATATTGTTGTTACTTCATATGACTCAATGATCGACGATAAGGCAAGGCGTCTGTTTTCAAGCATTCCCTGGGCTGGTTTGGTTGTCGACGAGGGACAGCGCTTGAAGAACGACAAAAATCAATTATATGAGGCGTTAACGCGCATTCACTTCCCCTTCAAAATTCTGCTTACTGGTACCCCTCTGCAAAATAACATTCGCGAGTTATTCAATATCATTCAATTCTGCGATCCGTCTAAAAATGCTGAGGTCCTTGAACAGCAGTATGGGGGAGATTTTACAAAAGAGAAGCTCACTGAACTGCATGACATGATACGCCCGTATTTTCTTCGCCGAACAAAAGCTCAAGTTCTGACATCTTTGCCCCCAATGGCACAGATCATTATACCAGTTACAATGAGTGTTGTACAGAAAAAACTGTATAAATCGATTCTGGCTAAAAATCCAGAGCTGATTCGGTCGATTTTCGAGAGAAACCAAGGGAGAACATTGAAACGGACAGAACGTCACAACCTAAACAACATTTTGATGCAGCTTCGGAAATGTCTTTGTCATCCCTTTATCTACTCCAAAGCCATTGAAGAGAGGACGGTCAATGCGGCTTTGTCTCATCGAAATTTGGTTGAGGCTTCGTCAAAACTTCAATTGTTGGAAATGCTTTTGCCTAAACTGCAGGAAAGGGGTCATCGCGTTTTAATATTTAGCCAATTTCTTGATAACTTGGATGTCATGGAAGACTTTCTTGATGGCCTGGGTCTTCTGCATCGCCGCCTTGACGGATCTATGACCTCTCTCCAAAAGCAGAAGCAGATTGATGAATTTAACGTTCCCGGTTCACCATACTTCGCATTTTTGCTGTCCACTAGATCTGGTGGTGTTGGGATTAATCTGGCCACTGCGGATACGGTTGTCATTATGGACCCTGATTTCAACCCACATCAGGACATTCAAGCTTTGTCGCGAGCGCATCGAATTGGTCAAAGGAAAAAAGTTCTGGTTTTCCAATTAGTGACGAAGGGATCGGCCGAGGAGAAAATTATGCAAATGGGAAAAAAGAAGATGGCTCTAGATCAGGTTTTGATTGAGCATATGGACGTGGAGGGCGACACAGAAATTGATTTGGAGGCCATTCTTCGGCACGGAGCAGATGCTCTCTTCGATGATAGTACCACAGACGATATTCACTATGATAACGAGGCAATTGAAAAACTTCTTGATCGAAGCCAGATCGAGAATACAAAGGCCGGGGATGATGGATCTGCCGAGTCACAGTTCAGCTTCGCCAGAGTGTGGGTTAATAATACGCTTTCGGACAAACTAGGTGATTCAGAAACGGCGACTCCCAGCAATACAGTATGGAATAAAATCCTACAGGAACGTGAACGTATGGCTGCCGAAGAAGCGAAGGCAAACGCTCAAACGCTGGGGCGGGGAAAACGTAAACGTCAAACAATTGACTATACTTTTCAGTGTCGTGGTGCAGAGCATCTGCTGTCTTCGCCTAAAGCATCAGGAAAGGATGATACCGATGCAGAATTTCAATCCAAAAGCCCTGAGTTAGATACCGAGGATGTTGATACCGATGGCGATTTTGTTAGCGGGTCTTGCAAAGCAAGTATGAAAAGAATCCCAGACACAAAGAGTCTATGAAGGTATGCTATAAGTTTCAGTTTCGGTGATGTTGAAGACTAACTTTTTCCCCCTAGTACGTCGGTCCATACGAGCCACAATCCCTGATATAAACTCAGAGGTAAACGGCTCAATGCTGGATGGGAGTGGAGAATCGAATACCAGATCGCATTCACCACGTCGCTGCGTAGCCTGCGATCAAATTCATCCAATTGGGCACTGCCCATTGAAATTGGCTGGTGTTGAACATTGTGGGCTTTGTGGGATTGCGCACTATGGGCGCGGACGAGCATGCCCACACCTCAGTTCAGAAACCCAGGTTGCTTTGATGCTCGGCTCTCTCAAAGAAAGTACTGAACAGCGAGCGCTGGTAGACGAAGCTACCAAATATCTACGAGGCATCCGAGGCGACCTTGTTAGAAGGAAGAAAATCAAAGCTGCCAAGGAAACGGCAGATTCTCTGCCCCTGGCCACTGCTGCACCAACATCACATCCAACCCAAAACGCACCAGCGTCTCCTGTCGATCCCCCATTCCTACCACACCATCCAGGTCACATTGTGGCATATCCTCCGTATCCACCACAACTACCACCACAGTTCTCACACACGCAACAGTTATCCCCTCGTCTGGAAACCAGGCACAATTAGCGCAATACCAGTAGCGTAATAACTAAGCTATTAGTGCAGAAGTACCAACCAATAATTTCTCATACTAAATTATATGCAATTCTATTTGCTAGTACAGCTCCACTATCTCATGTTTTCTCTCAATGCGTTACTGCACCTCTTTCAACCTTCTAATCTTTCAACTGTGAGAATCCACCTTTGCTGCAAGAATTCACCTTCCTACCCATCCACCCCTGCAAAAATCATGGCATTCAAAGGTGATTTTCAATTCTCTATGATCTCTTCTAATCATATTCACTGATTATTTTATTAAACAGTATAAAAAAAGTGAGAAATGAAAGTGATCTGCAAGTGAACTTCTTGCAGATATTCCACCTCTGAAAAGCATTATCTTCAATTCTATAAAGCCTTTTCATCGCCTGCCAACTGCCAATCTGCTCAATATTGACCCTTAGGAATTCATATGTTTTATTCTCTCTCTATATCTCAGAATCTGATATTCAGAATATTATAAGCTCCATCAATGTCTATATAAAGATACAAATATCAAAGAATTCAGCTTTCAATCTGCAGAATTGACAGTCAACTACTTCTACAGAAATTAAGATATTTCTTGAGCAGATTATCTATATGAGAGTGTATAAATCTTCAGCAATTGAAGATTATTGAAATAAGAATGATACTCAGAGACCTGTTCATCCATCAAGATTTCATATAAGACAGAGGCAATTTGAGCAGATCAAGAGATATATTCATATATTCAATTTTTGCAAATTGAAATCTTTCTTCATTCAAAAGCTAGAGCCTCTATACTTAAACTTTCATACAATATATCAGAAATACTACATCTCTGATTCAAATCTTGCCATTGATGAGATGATGATTCAGTTCTTCAGTCAATCAAAGTACACAGTCAAAATGCCTCAGAAATTAATCAAGCAGAGATGTAAAATCTTTAAATTAGAAGAACATGACTATCTTTCAACTTTCTCCATGTTTCATGATAATCTCCATATGAATACGATGTTCTGAACTTCAGAGTTAATCAAGACTGAATCTCTTGTGATGGAATTGATTGAGCAGCTGCCAGTATTCTTGCAGAGCTCTGAGTAGCAGCATTCAAAGTTGAATAACAGTAAAGAGATTGCTGACTACTCAATTTATATGAACAACCACTTCACATCTGTTGCTCTATTCAACTATCTTTGAAAGAAAGGAATTGAAGTATGTGGAACCATCCATCCTGCCAATCTACCACCCCTTTTGCAAGAATTGAAGAACTCTGAATTGTCAGCTCATATTCTTTTCAATACTCTGTATAATCTCTCAAAATGAAGTTCTCTGTCTTACATGGAAAGACAATAATGTGGTATTACTATTGTCTACAGTTCATAAATCAGACAGCTTCATTGAATGTATCTGAAAACATTCTGAGATCAATTCCACCAACAGCCCGCAGATACAATGTTTATTTGATGATAAATATGAACAAGCTATGAAGATTCCTATCATTATTAATGACTACAATCATAATATAAATGGGATTGACCTAGCAAATCAGTATAGAGCTTTCTATGAGACTCATATGCTCACTAATCACATGTGGTTGTCAATTCTATACTGGATTATCAATCATGCAATTGTCAATTCTTATATTCTTCATCAATTGGCTACTGCTTCAGGCTTTGCTGCTCCGGGCCCTGCTGCTCTGAGCCCTTCTACTCTATCTCATGCTCAGTTCCATCAACAGCTTTATCTTCAACTCTTTGAGTTCTCTAATTCTCTATCATTCACTCAATCAAATTCAGATTTAAATCATCATTGAATTTCTCTGCCAGAATCTCAAGCTTGTGTCTGATGTCAGTATAAAAGAAAGAGAGCAGAGCAGAATTAAAGATAAAGCTCCAAGATCAAGATATGGTTGCTGCATGTAATAATATTCCTCTCTGTCTGAAAAGCCGGTGTTGGCAGGAGATATTAATTAGGGCTAGATTGAATAGATTACATAAATTACATTAAAACATTCTAATACAGCCGATCTCTCATATAATCCAGTAGTTTTCGCGTTTTTAATACGCTAACGTACACGCTAAAAAACCGCGCTAATTGTGCCTGGTTTCCAGACGAGGGGATATCAACAATCACCATGCCCACCGTATCCATACCCGCCATTTCAACTCTCGTATCCCGGTATGACGAAGTAGAAATGGTCCTACATTATTGATGACGATTCATAGAGTATTATTCGCTCATGCTTGCTGACCTTAGTATTTGTTCTTGTAAATTTTTTTTATCTGCCAAATGTAACATGCTCTTCAACATAGAGGTTAGCGTGTGATTTTCCTTTTTTAGGAGTGTATGGGGGAAGAGCCAAAAGATCATCGGAGGGGGATTTTGCCTTTCAATATCACGGCGGATTCATTTTGAATTGACCTTTGTAGAACATACCAGTCACTCATACGTTTAATTTTTTGCAGAAATTTCTTCTCATTGAGATTTTATAACCGTTCCAGCCTTGACTATCAATTCGGTACTGGGGTGTATTTTAATTTTATTTCCTTTTTGCCCCTTTAATCCCCTAGCCTACCCCCTATTGACATTCTTTTTGCTGGCAAGATATTTATTCAGCAATGCTGTGAAATGCAATTACAAGACTACACGTCTATTACCACTGCAGATTAGCTGAGGTGAAAATGGCTCGGCAAAAAAAAAGTAGCAAAACACCAAAATATTCAAAATATCTGCATATTCACAGAATCTTCAATGAATATCACCATTATCATTCAAATAAATGTATATCATATGTTTATCATCATATCCTAGTAATATGTCTTTCTCAACGCAGTCATCATTTCATCTTAGTGCAACAGTTACGTCAATTTCCCATCTTCCCATTGATTCATTCAAATGCTTTGTCGAATCTCTCTCATCCGTAGGCTCTTCTTGATATGGTTTGTCGGAACCCCAATTTACCGTAGCTTTATTATCGTCTATTCTCCTCATAGATACTCCGAATTCATGGAAAAAAGGTAGAGCCAATAAAAAGTCTCATAGCTGGAATATGTTTCACTGAAATAGCAGCCGCCCCAATTTTCATGCCGATTAATATAGGACTACTTTCTTTGCTCCTCGTGTGGCGATTAGAGTTAAGTTGTACTGTACGATGGTTCAGAATTGCTCCCTCCCTCATCTTTCTTCACCCTTTTCTTGCCTTCCTATCGCAAAGCCCAAGCTTCAGCATAGTTAGCACTCTGAAACCACTCGATACTTTGCTTGCGTCATGGACGTCAGAGCTCTGGAAGAATACCAGCATCGGGTCATCCAAGGCGACCGGGAGGGATCAGATTCCGATGATGAAGCCATCGTTTTTATCTAGTGTTCTATCTAAGTTGAAATTGGAACATCTCCCAGCTCATTTATTGTGCTTCGGTGCGTAAAGCGTCGGCAGATTTCCTAGAAAAACCAGAAGTGCCCATCGAGCCTATAACCATTGCATCGCTGCTTTTCGGTTCTTACCATGTATTATTTCCGATCAAATTCGGAGATGGGTTACCCTGCATGTGGAACTCCAGAGCATTTCAAACGCATCAGCCGCATCCGCCCTTCGGTCTGAAGCTTTCCAAATCCATGCGACTCATCCTATGTGAAACTTCAGTTCCACTTCCAGATGTATTGGCATTTGACGCGACACTAGATAATGAACTTGGTTGTCCTTCCATCTTGGTGAGCTTTGTTCAGGGAGGTTCTTTGTACGATTGTTGGTTTGACAAAAAATATTACCAAGGGAGAGATGTGGTGCACTGCACAAGGACTTCACAGGGTATTGCTCATGCAATGGTCGAACTGAGCCGGTTCTCATTTTCTACTTATTGGTGGTGCCCTTCCATTTGATCGAGATGGGAATTTGAATAAACCTAGTACTACAGCATATGAGGTTTGTTGATCATCATCAATCCATGCTTGAGCGACAAGGAAATGACGAAGAAGACGAATCAGCGCTCTATTTTGAAGCAGGACCATTTCAAGACGCAGCTCCATGCTATCTTCTCGCAATCAACCGAGCAAAAGAGCGCAAGCAACCCCTCCATAAGGGTGTGCAAAATCTCCTGCGCATGCTTTTTTCCTGGGTTCCGGCCACAAGACCTGAAGTTCGTGCTTACGGATTCAGATCATGATATCTAGAATGTCCTCGTATCCAAGGATGGAAGTTTTCAAGGTTTTATTGACTGGGGCAGTGTGGCCGCTGTTCCCCGTTTCATCGGATGAATGAAAAATACCCCTCCTGGCTTATTGTGGCGGACGTAAATACCTGAGATTGGGATCCAGCCATGTGTGCGAGAAGTGAAGACATGGAGCAGGACATCGAGCCAGATACACTGTGGGAGGACTCTTCAGATACTCTCGCGTTCCATCGTAAGGAGCACAATGAGTTTATACAGTGTCATTTGCCTCTTCCCAAAAATTCTGTCTCTTCTTCCTCTCCCCTTCATGCATCGTCCGCAACGCAGAAGTCACTCTTTGTTGAGAATTTGCTAATTGCAGCCGAAAACCTATGTGTACATACATTTGAGATTCTTGAAAAGTGTATTGAGAAGATTGTCGAATTGGCACAACGAGACTCGAATCGACCAGGTGTGGAGGTGAAGAAGGGCGATAATAAGATATAACGGACGCTCTGTCATATAGAGAACTCAATGAGGAAATGACTGATTTTCTGAGGAAAGTCCTTGAAACACTTTGGAGGTGCCATGGTACAGTAACATGCGATTGAGGCCGTTTTACGTTGCAATTCCGCAAAAATATATTTATAGTTATAGTTATATTTTTTTATATTTTTTATATTTAAGGTTGGCCAGACAGAAGTGTTGAACTCACATGAGAAGCATTTATTTCCGATAAAATAATAGCAGACTACTGAATAATAATACATCCTAACCCAGCATTGAGTGAGGGAGAGAGATGACAGAGCGGCATATTAAATATATCATTTCCGTGCGATTCGTTCCCAAGCCCCCAGTATGTGATTTAAACCGACAATTATGATGTCTAGTAGTTGAATATCCTTCAAAACAAAGATATGATACATGACTACACAGCACACATGAAGCGTCTCTCCTCATCTCAATCTGAAATCACAATTGGCTAATCACTGGTATGGGTTGCTGGTTGTTTGTTCCTGTCAGAAATGCTGAACCCAAGCCAAGCCCTTTGTCATATTCGCCTTCTAAAGCTAGAGAAACACACAAACGCATGCTATCTACATCACTAAGGCAGGTCTCGGGTGATATCCCTCATCAATTATACCAAAAAGTCTGCCCAAATTTGAACGCAGACATAATCTGCGATATAGGGAGCAGCCAGTTTCTCAGTTGGTTTGCAACCTCCTGGGGCTGCAATGCCATTCTTGATTGATTGCTCATGCAAACTTTTTTGGTGTTTTCGATCTATTTAGATGGTTCCTATTCCACACCGCAGCTTGAAACCTCACTTGTGGCCCTTCCAGATACTATATATGGGGAGGCCATACTTCTGCGTCCTCTCTTCCGAAGGGCTGCTCGGTAATCAATCAACCTGCCTATCCAAGCGGTCGGGTGCGACTATACCCAGGATTCAGGTTACCAAATGGGTCTTTACTGCTTCCTAGCACTTTTGCACTTTTTAAAAAGGTTGATGTTAGATCAATTCTATGGCCCACCATTTCGGTGATTGACTACAACTGGTGATCAATTTTTACCAAAAAGGCCCTCGGTTTGATCCGAATGCCACAAAGCTGTCCGGGACCGATGATGTCCACTATCCTCTGATTTTTAATATTGTTGGGGAACTGATCTGCTTTTCTTTACGTTGATGCCTGATTTTCTTGGGACTCCATTCCCACAGTGTTCTTTTGATTGTTCATGATAATGCAGTGTACCGAGAGCTAAGGCTAGGTTGGTCGCACTGACAGATGTCATGGGTACTTTAGGACAAACTGCTCCTGAGAACAAAGATGCTGGCAATCTATTCTCTGGTCTATTGTGGATAATTGCTCAACAAAATAGAAACAGCATCTTAACTGTTTCCATCTCCTTCTCTTTCTCTTCATTTTAAGCTCACATGGATATGTGGCAAATAGCTAACCTTTTGCTTTCCTAATATAATGGACTCCTCAATCTCTAGATATCTTGGGCATGCACAGGAACGGTTATATGAGTTACATCTTTGCACGGTTCTCCTATATTATATTTAGAGCCACAGTTGACATATCGTTCTCTACTTTGTTTACCTATTTCTCTGTGTTATTGAATTTCACACTGGCAGCAACACAACTCTTTCCTGCTCTAGAATCTTCAGTTTCATTCCTTTAATATTAACAAAGTTGAATACACTGAAACCTCCACTGACACATCCACTCAAATATACTGTTGTATATCTTCTTCCTCTAGGCCTCAGGCTCCCTCAACTTCTTCTCTTTGCTAGAACATTTTGCTCATTTCAACCTCGCTTAACATCTCACACAAATCCCCCTTTACTCCTCCTTTGTGCTTTTCAACCGCAAATTACTGTTGTTGCTCTGATTCTTTCTTTTCCATTCAGCTGCCTAGCTTTTTATATCTTTCAAGCAAATCCTATCGTAACCTTGAACTCGTTCCATTATCTATCAGCTACTTCAGCAGGACAGACAGCGAATAGCCATGCAACCAGAGTTCTGCATCACCCGCCCAAATGGAGTTGTTACTGCACTAATCGCCGTGGACGAATTGCCTCCCTTCGTAACTATTCGTGGCGTTCCTCGGTGTTTGAGCCAAATCGACGACGACCATGGAATGATCAACGTGGGGACTGTGGGCTCTCGTGGTCAATTTTATACCGTTGACGTTGCTGTCGAATCTAGAGCTCATCATATTAATGGGACCCCGAATGGGGAACCGGCTATGACACCTCAATCCTCTCTTACTATCGAGGGACATGGAGTCTTTCGTCAATCAGGTGGTCTTGGTGCAGCGATTTTGAACCCCAATTCTGAGGGGCGCAACATCATGGCCTGGAGGAACGAGGTTAGCGATAATGCTGTTACCAACACTAGCCGCGAAGTAGCGAAGTTGGTGAGTAATATTAAAACACCATTACTGTCGTCTGATGCTTGCTTTTAACCTGATAGAGGCGAAAACCATTAGGATGAAACCCCATCACAACGCAGAGAATCTGGAACTCAGAATGCGAAAAACCCAAAAACTCCCGCCAAAAAAGAGTTCTGCTCTTTCTGGATTCGTCGGGGGGAGTGTGACTATTCGCAGCAGGGTATGGTAATCTCCCTCAACTTTTATAAAATTTTAGCCGTATTAAATCGTTATAGGATGTCTTTTCAAACACGAAATGCCTAGAGATCTCGAGACCCTAGGGCGCCTGGGGCTTCGCGATATTCCCCGCTGGTATCGCGAGAAGTATAAAGTTAAAAGCATCAGTGGCTCTGATGGGATGGATCCACGCATGGACGCTAGTCGTGGTTGGAGACCGGTTGGGCCGATGCCAACGTTCCCACCCCCCAATTACGGTTTACCTCCTCCAAGATTCAATGTAGGGCAAAGCTGAAGGAGAAGCTGCAAATTGGGAATCACGCAACGCTCGAA